GCAGATGACATGATAGTGTATATGGAAAATCCTATAGACTCTACCCAAAAACTGCTCGAACTCATTAATGAATTTGGCAAAACAGCAGGATACAAAGTCAATATCCAGAAATCAAAGGCATTTTTGTACACCAACAATGAATCAGCAGAAGCAGAAATCAAGGAAAAAATCCCATTCGATATAGCAAAAAGAAAAATAAAATATCTGGGAATAAACCTAACCAAAGAGGTAAAAGAGCTGTATGCAGAAAACTACACAGCACTGAAGAAAGAAATCAAGGAAGACACAAACAAATGGAAACATATACCGTGTTCATGGATTGGAAGAATTAACATCATCAAAATGTCCATACTACCCAAAGCAATATACAGATTCAATGCAATACCTATTAAAGTACCAATGGCGTATTTCACAGACATAGAACAAACACTTCAAAAATTTATATGGAATCATAAACGAGCCCGAATAGCAGCTGCTCTTTTGAGAAAGAAGAACAAAGTAGGAGGGATCACAATACCTGATATCAAACTGTATTACAAAGCCACTATAATCAAAACAGCCTGGTACTGGCATAAAAACAGGCACATAGACCAATGGAACAGAACAGAGAGCCCAGAAATCAACCCAACCCTCTACAGTCAATTAATATTCGACAAAGGGGGCAGTAACATAAAATGGAGTAAAGATAGCCTCTTCAGCAAATGATGTTGGGAGAACTGGACAGCTACGTACAAAAAAATGAAACTTGAGCACCAACTTACACCATACACCAAAATAAATTCAAGGTGGATAAAAGACTTAAATATAAGCCATGACACCATTAAAGTCCTAGAGGAGAACATTGGCAAGAAAATCTCAGATATTCCACGCAGCAACATTTTTACGGATATGTGCCCTAGAGCAAGGAATATAAAGGAAAGAATAAACAAATGGGATCTCATCAAAATAAAAAGCTTCTGCATGGCTAAAGAAAACAGTATTAAATTAAAAAGACAACCAACTGTATGGGAAAACATATTTGCCAATGATACCTCAGACAAAGGTTTAATCTCCAAAATATACAAAGAACTTACACGACTCCACTCTAGGAAGACATCGAACCCAATTAAAAAATGGGAAAAGGACTTGAACAGACACTTCTCCAAAGAGGACATACAGAATATCCAGAGACACATGAAGAGGTGCTCAATATCGTTAGCTATCAGAGAGATGCAAATTAAAACCACAATGAGATACCACTTTACACCAGTCAGGATGGCTATAACAGACAAAGCAACAAACAACAAATGTTGGAGAGGGTGTGGGGAAAAGGGGACCTTAGTTCACTGTTGGTGGGATTGCAGACTGGTACAACCATTATGGAAAACAGTATGGAATTTTCTCAGAAAAATAAAAAATTGACCTGCCTTTTGACCCAGCAATTCCACTGCTAGGATTATATCCCAAGAATCCTAAAACATCAATTTCAAAGAACCTATGCACCACAATGTTCATAGCAGCACAATTTACACTAGCCAAGAGTTGGAAGCAACCTAGGTGCCCATCAGTAAATGAATGGATCAAAAAATTGTGGTACATATACACCATGGAATTCTATGCAGCAGAGAGAAAGAAGGAGCTACTACCTTTTGCAACAACATGGATGGAACTGGAAAGCATTATGCTGAGTGAAATAGGCCAGGCATTGAAGGACAAATACCATATGATCTCACCTTTGACAGGAAGCTAAAGAATAAAACAAACAAGCAAACAGAATAAAAACAAAGACACTGAAATAGAGAACAAGTGGGCAGCGACGAGAGGGGAGAGGAAAGGGAACTCAAGGGGAAAAAGGGGGAGGGATTTTGAGGAACAAGTATGAAAGACACAGAGATGAGGACTGGGGGGGGGAATGGGAGGGAGGGGGGAGACCGGGCGGGGGGGTACGGTGGGATGGGAGAAGTAGATTAAAAAAAATGTACTTGAAAAGTAACTAAATAAAATAATATTAAAAAAAAAAGAAACCAGTCAACAGTGGAGGCACTTGCAGTTTTCAGAATTCAGAGTTATGAGCTTCTAAATTGAAAACTGTCCTTAACATAAACTTGCTATTAATAGACAATGAAATAGATGACTATTAAAGGTGAAATGTTTACCTCATTTTTAAAAATTAAATGGTGAGAAATGGGAAGTTGATTTGGTTATTCCAACTCTTTAAGTCCTTTGGAGACTATAATGTTTCTGAAGATAATTGATTATGTTTGATAATGAAAAGTTTAAAACTTTTTCAGTTATGGGCAGACTATAGTGGGGAGTAATCTTCCAAGTAAACTTTTCTCCCCCTTCTTCAGAGAAACTAATGCTGTTCAATTATGTCATTAGAAATTAATAAAGAGGTCAGTTGGATATGACCTTGACTAAGAGTTCATTGCTTTCTATACTGAATATGTAAGCAATTGAAAATACTGTCCATAGAGTGACCTTCCTTTTGAGTGTGTTCTCTCTCCAGGAGTTGCTTAATGGCTGCTTTGGTGTTATTTTGCACTGTACTCCTTGAACTCAAAAAACAGTATACCTGACCCAATGAATATCACAAAAAAATATTGTGATTAAAGCCATTTCACTTGGAAACAACCTCACTTTTGTAGTATTGAAAGACTCATCATAAGAAAACACCAGACAAACCAAAATCAGAGGGACAACCAACCTATACTCTTCAAAATGTCAAAGCCATAAATAACAAAGGCTGAGGAACTGTTCCAGTTAAAGGAAGCTAAAGAGAAATGTTAACTATGTACAATCTTTGATCTGAAACTGGTTCCTGGATCAGAAAAAAAATGTTATAAAGACCATTATTGAGAGAGCTGGTACAGTTTGAATATGGACTATACATTAAATAATTATATTGACCCAATAGAAAATATCCAGGATTTGATCATTTTTAAAATGCCCTTGTTCTTAGGATTTGTGGCTGAAGTAATTAGACATAGAGGGTTGTGATATCTGAAATTCTGAAGTAGTTCATCAAGAAACAAAGAGTAAAAATGCTTTGAGACATATGGCAAAACAGATTTTGTAAATCTAGACACAAAAGATAGTAAGTGTTCATTGTTTAATTTTTGAAACTCTTCTGTGAGTTTAAGATGCACTTTAAATAAAATATTTAAATGTATTTTTGAAAGAAAATGCCATTTTCATTTGTAAGTTCCCTTTTAGACTATAACCCATACTTTGAGCAAAGGCCAAAATTAGGTATTTCTTATTGTGACCACTCACACAGGAAATAACCACAGCAACCCAAGGGAAAAACAAGTGCCCTGGAACCACAGCAGAGGGTTCTGGCACCATTTCATCCACAGCTTCTAAGTGATGATACTGAAACCTCTTCTCTCATATGTCCAGCCCCAGTTCTCTTTTTTGGATCATTTCAGGATCTTGCCTTTCTCTACCTGTTGGTGGCAAAGCAGCACCTGGTGTTAGACCTCAGTTGAGCAACCTCAGAACTTGAACTTTGGTTAAGAAAAATTTCAAAGCCAAGACTCAAACTATAAGAGAAAGTTTATTTAGAAAATCACAGAGGTAAAAGAAGTGAGCCATAGGAGAAATGGGCTCAGGAAATGAGTTACAGAGGCAAAAGAAGGGCCCTTGGGATGCAGGGAAGGGAAGAGAGGGAGAGAAGGAGAGAGGAATGGAGGGGAAGAGAGAGGAGGGGAAGAGAGGGGAGGGGAGGGGAAGATGTTTTTTTACAAATGAAAGATTGAATAAAGGCACAAGTGTACTCTGGAAAAAGAGAGAAAGAGCATGTGCAGGGCCCCTGTCTTAAGTATTGAGGACTTTTATCTGGAGGTCTCAGAGGATGTTAATAGATTATCCATCAGCTTTTCAGGTGTGTCCCCTCAGGGTCATGGTCTTCACTAATTGGTCAGCACCTGGATAGAGGGTCACTAGTCAATGCAGTTGGTCCTGAGGTCTGCCATGGCATCACTCTGTATGACTTTGCTGCTTTTCTGGACCTGGAGCTGAAACACAACTGAGGCCTAGATGTCATCTGCAGAGGTAAATGCTTAAGGGGGTTCTCATGCAAGGGCACGTAGTTTTGCTTATTGATAGGCACCAAGGGATTTCTGCCCTGGTGGCCCTCTGCACCTGGCCTATTGTTTGTATTCTACTCATGCCTATCTACCTACCTTCTACACATCTCTGATTGCTCTAAGGTTTATCCCCTTAACACCTCTTTTAATGACTGAGGTCCTACCTTCTGTTCCTGGAATCAACTCTAATTTTAGCCCCTTATTCTGGAAAAGCTGACTGGGTTGAGTCCTTATGGCTGTCTTCAAGTAACATCTCATGGTGATTGAGGCACCAGCTTCTGAGGCATGGAAAGTACTCCCCAAGGATGGTGCAGCTGAAATGATGTGGGGAAGAGCAGCTTAGAAGCTCCAGAAGCCTGGTCTTTGACCACACTTTCCACAACACTCTGTTGGGATCCAGAAGAACCAGGTTTCAAACTCAACTGTTTAGGATAGTGCTCTTTGACATTGGACTACTACATTAATTTCTCTGGGCTTCCTTTTCCTCATCTATAAAATGATTGCTGAGGTCCTTCCAGGTCTAAAATAATTACAATGTTTCAAATTTTTCAAGTCTCCCCTTGTGTCATCACAGGATATTGTAACCTGAGAATTGTCCATGACATGTGAGATCATCAGTTAATTATTAAAACATATGTTGAGTAGGTTCTGTGTCTCCAAACCTGTTCATATGGTTTATAATTCATAATCCTGAGTCAAGCAGACCTACTTTCATTATTCCTGTTCACTGTTTCTATTCTTATATGCTCTAAGAATTTGGACAAGTTATTTAATCTGCCTAAAATATCAATTAGCTCATCTGTTAAATGAGATCTATAATGATACTTATTCTAAAGGGTTATTGAGTAGATTAAATGATATAATGCATACAGTACTACATAATAAGTATTCATTAAAAATAGTATTTCTAAATACTAATAGTAACATTTTACTAGGAAACAGAATATAATAAAATCCTTTTCATCCAGAATATTCTAATTGAAGTTACATGACTGAAGTTGATTTAATTAGCAATAATCACTCCTTGGATAAACCTCATTGGCTACGATACTGCCACTGTGCAAAGCTTGAAGTTCATTTAACAACTGGACAACAATGCAGAAAGGCAAAGAATTTAGTGATAAAAAACATGTGGCAGAGACAAACAAGATTTTAACTGATAAAAGAGAATGGTCAGTTTGATCTGGGATTGCACTCATTCCTGGCTAAATACATAAAAAGACTTTTAAGTATGGAAAAACTTTAAAATGTGTATATATCTAACAGAAAGATATATGTATTTATAGATATATGTGTATATATTTATATATGCTCTTTATTTTTAAAATGCACTAAATACAAAATTTATACATGGATACATCTAACTTAATAATTTCAAGTAATACAGATTTAGTCAAAGGTTTCTTTATTGTCTAATGAAATCTCACTCTCCACAATAATCACTATTATTAGCTGGGATGAATTTGTTAAAGTTTTTGTTTTTTATTCATTTTTTGGTCTAAATATTCTCAAGCTACAAAATATTGTTATCAATATATGAGTAGAAGCCTGTCCAGCGAGGGAATAGGACCTTGGTAATGCCAAGTGCAGATTTCTTAAGTCAGTGGCATTTTCAGAACACCAAAGTGACATTTCCTTATTGTAAGCAAATGTCACAAAATAACAGTTTGTGACTGTTATGCAGGTTAGTTGTTCCTGTTATCAATATAAAATATCTCTTGCCCCTTAATGTTTTCTGACTTTAATTTGCCTAGAAATATTGCTCAATAGCTCTCTTTTGGTAGAATTTACCTAGGATAGCTTTTATACATCCTTATTTTCAATCTTTTGATATTATTGTATTACTGATAAATGTCTTGCTAATAACAAAGTGTTGGGCCTCTTCAATCTGAATGCTGTTTTGCTTTAGTTCTGTTATTTCTTTTTCTCTTTGAATGTTCTCCACTCACTACTCTCTCCTAAAATTCTTATTAGATAGACGTTGGCACTGCTGACTTGTCCCTCCAAAACCCTTAATAAACCTTAATTATTTTTCTATACCTTATATATTTTTTGTCTTTTGCCCAAGATTCTGGCAGAATTTCTTACCATAGTTTTCTATGCCACAAATTTATGTTACATTAATGTCTATTTTGCTATTAAGCCTATTATTTAGTTTTTAATTACAATAATACATTTTAAACAATTTCCCATATCTTTCATCGCATTTTTGTGCCTACAAAATCCTCTTAGATTTGTCTGAGAATAGGGATTATAATCACTCTAAAATCTTCTTTTGCCTTGGCTGGTGTGGTGCAGTAGATTGAGTGCTGGTCTGCTAACCAAAGGGTTGCTGGTTCAATTCCCAGTCTAGGGCACATGCCTGGGTTGCAGGCCAGGTCCCCAGGAGGGGGTGTGAGAGGCAACCACACATTGATGTTTTTCTCCCTCTTTCTACTTCCCTTCCCCTCTCCCTAAAAATGAATAAATAAAATTTTTTTAAAAGAACTTTAGATTTTATTTTTTAAAATCTTCTCTTTGCCATATAAACTTTGTTTCTTAATTGTTGAATTTGGTGCTCATGGTGTTGACCCACTCAAGTGTTTGCCTTAATTTTCTGTAGACCTGACTCTCAATACTACATTGGCCATGGCCCTCCCATTAATGATTATGCTGGATGTGGGGATCTGCTTCTAGGTGGGGTAGACTGCAGCCCCTCTACGTTTAAGAGGAGAAAGTAGGCACCAGATGAGTTGTTAGTCTGGGCATGCCACTTCTGGACATGAGTAATTTCCAATAATCCTTTTGGTCACGATCTTCTGAGTATTGTCCTGTCTCTCCCACCTAGATGTCAGATTATTTCTTCTGTTTTGAGTAAGACAGTGGTCCTGAGCTCCTTTCAGCCTGCCAAAATGTGGAAAAGGAAGGAGGGTCAGCTATTTGGCTAGTCTGTTGGCAGTATTCCAAACAGTGACTCAGAAACTGCCCCTCCCAGTTCCACATCTCCAATTTTTGCTCCCTCTGGTCTGGGAACACTCCTGAAGACCCCCACATTTTACAGAAATCCTTTTTTACATGGATTTTTACTTTTTATGGTAAAATATCATTTTCTTCTGGTCTACAAAAAACATCTCTTCTTGTTTTCAAATCTGATTATGTATTTGTTTTTGAGTATACATTTTCTATAGTTCTAAGATTGTGCAATGAGAAAGAGAAGTTACAGAATATTGTTGGGAGCCTATCTCTTTCTGAACAGAATTTAAAACTCTTAAGTTTTTTCTCAAAGAGCACAGGAAATAGTGTTGCATTTATTTATTACAAAGAGTTATCTTTATATTCTATCAGAAATATATTTCAACTCCTTGAAAGCATATCGCATTATAGAGATGTTCTTGTTAAAAAAGAAATCTTTGAAGAATGCCAAGGGTTATCCTGGCAGAAATTCATAGTAAACACAGTCCTGGCTCAAAGAGATCACAGTGTGCATTCTCTCAGCTGCATGATCCTGTCAGAGAAGGCATGGTTCTGTGTCTGCCAGCACTGTGTGTATGTGTGTTTAATAGAAAGGCTTCATTTGCAATTTCATATTAATTAGTGACCAGTTATTGGTCAAGATTTGAAATTCAATTAGGAAATAAGTGTAGTGAGAACTCGTATCTATCCTATGAAGAAGATTCTCCTAGGGAGAAAAGATAAAATGTAACTTCAGGCATTACCTTCACAAAATAGCAAATTCAGCATTAAGGTTCTGCTATTTTATACATACAGTTTAGATTTCAAAAGAAAACTCTAACAATTTATCCTGACTAGCAACAGTGTAGTCTTGCCTCTTGAACTTACTTCTTCTATGTTTATGCATTCTTATACTCATTGTATTAACTAATTTTTATGTTACAATAAGCCACCCCAAATATTAGGGGTTTAAAACAGAAGACATTTATTTAGTTCAGCTCTTTATTGGTCTTCTTCTGTTTGGTCTGGGTTTGGCTGAGCTTAGCTGGGCTCATTAATGTACCGGTCATCATTTGGCTGCGACCTGCCTGGACTTATTGGCTTAGGTGACAGGGGCAAGTGGTCTGCCTGTCCCTCATCATGCTTCACTTGGAAGCTGGGTTCCGACAACAGTAGGAAAGCAAGTTCCAAAGCATGCGAGCCCTTGAAGCCTCCGCTAACCTCACTGTCATTAATGTCCTGTTGGTTAAAGCTTGTCATAAGATAAAGAATATATTCAAGGGTAAAAGAGTGAAAGAATCTGTGACCATTTTGAAATCTTAAAAGTCCCATGTTAATCAATGCTGTTAATATAGTTTACCTGTATACTTAAAGTTTTCTCCACAGACTTGAAGGTATTAAGAAAAAACATCATATGGAAACTACAATGTGAAAAATTATATTGTATTATTTTTATTTTAAAGTAACATGTAATTGGGTAGGAAAACTAAATTCCAGATCCAGTCCACCATTTTTAAAATCAATGTGATTTTTGGCAAATTAGTTAGGTTTGGAGTTAGGTTTTTTTTAACATTTAAAATGAAGGAGTTGAATTGATTATCTCAGTTCCCTCTTCTCTCTCCATTATTGAAAAACATAAATTTGACATAAGATGGATAAAAGTAAACAGCTTTATCTGGAAGAATCACAAAAACCAAAAATTCTTCAACATCCAGCAGAAGTACCATAATTTTTATTCCAAGAATATGAGGTCTTAATTATTCCCAGATTTGAACTTTGGATACTTAATCCCAAAAGAAAAACTTTTATTGTGTTTTCAACTTTCTTCTATCTGTCCACTCACTCTTTGACCAGGTTTTCTACGAAGAGGTCAGATCAGCAGATTTGGGCTTCACCTTCTTGCCTGGCTGTGCTGCTCTCCCACCCTAGATTAACTTTGACCTCTTTGAGGCAGACCGTGTCTTATATCTTCTTTTTGTTCCTAGTAACCAGTACAGTGTCAGAGATTGATCATTAATAAACATTAGTTGAATGAATAGAATAAAACTGACTTGATTTTCTACACTGAGTAGAAGATATTTCTTTGAGGAGTGTAACAGCAGATATTTTGAGAAACAGAAAAGTAGTGGAGGCTGCACCTCTAGCCTACATTAAAGGTTTTCTAATTTTGACAAGAAAGTGATTTGATTTGCTATGGCCATGACAGGGGAAAGCAAGTTGCTCTATAAGGTGGAGGAAGCCTGTGCTTTTTAGGACACAAATCACAGATCCCAATCTGCTTGGAGTAAAGAAGGCAGTAAGGAAATGAAAGTTCAGCCACCACCTCAGCATCACTGATCTGGAACAGTAAAGTCATTTAAGCCACAGCTCTCCGAGGCTGAGTTTAGAATGGGGGCCAGCCCTGCCAGCAGCAGGGAGCCCTGTTCATCTACATATGAGCTGTATGCTCCAGCCCATTTCCCGTCAACAGGGTAAGCACAGGAGGGAGACAGGGAGGAAAATAGCTCCATCATGTTCACTCCAGAAAACCAGCATTTGGATAATCAGCTGGTGATCAGAGAACATTTTTTAAGTCATTGATTTTGAATCCATTATTCAGTCTTGGGTTTTGGCTAAGATTATCTCTAAAGATAAAAGGTAGAAATAATAAAACTCATATTGGACTGCAGAATTTCTGCCACTAACTTAAATAAGCAACAACAACTATTAAAAAACATTAAATAGCAAAGAAAAAATCCCCATCATTTTCATTGATTACAACTACTAAATTTAATACAAGATAACTTATTGATTAACCCAGTGAAGCAGGTATTATAAATCAGTCTAGTAGGGAAAAATATGACTTGGGAAAAATTATATTTGAGAGATCCATGTTCATTTTAAACTTTAAAGTATGGCTACTAATGAAAATTTGAGACATTAAACTTCTGATTAAAATTGATTTGGGGACTTTCCAAAGCCAAGCAACTGCAGTAGAAATCCTCATTATCTCTCCTGCACGGTTGTTCTCTACTTAATTAATTAACCCTTAGTTGTTCTGCACAATACTCCTTTGAGTAAGGAACCTGGCGAAGTACTGCCTTCTTAATGAGAAGGAACATGAAGCAATGAGATATAAAATAATCTCTTAAGTCACA